CAGGAATGGAAAAAAAATACAAGGATTAAATAGACATCAACAACGCTGCTTTGAACAGAACCAATATGTTGCTCATAAAAATAATGATTAAGACAGATGAGTAAATAGACGAAGCTGCTGCACTTGTTAAGATTATTAGAATCAATGCACAAAATATGAAAGGGGACATCATTTGCTATAGCCAAAGCTTAACCAAAACCGATGCCTTTATAGGGAAGATTGAGAGTTGCGGCTTTGCCTTTTTACCTTTGGTTAGAGAGTTTGTGGAGGAAATGGATTAATATATTTTGTATTTTTTCTCTTTTTCTAAATGTAATAAACTTATCAAGCATTAATGAAAAGGGCATTGACTAATTTTCTTATGCAAAATCTATCTCTTCGTGAACATGATTCAAGCAAACGACTCGAAAGGTAGTACTCCTAGCAAAACAATATGACAAGAGAACCTATTTTTATAAAGTGGTGGCTATTATTCATTCACAAGAAGGCTGCATCCATACCCAATATACAAATGCATGCTTATCACAATCATGCATTATATCATGCATTGTCTTATGCATCTATGCACGCATTTGCAAACCTAGAAACATAGATCCCCCTTCTAGAATCCACAACACTCAATTAAAGAAAAGGATGGAAAATAAAGAAAGGTTACACCCAAAAGCTCAGTATCAAACAAGAGCTTGAAGGAATTTGGAATGATGTTGTGCACCTATTTGGTTTGTTTGAGAAAATGTTTTGAGACAACTTTTTTCCCTTTAATGAGATCATGCATTTTCAAAAGTTCATCTTAATGTTTTTACACATCACTTTCCGTTTTCAAAGTGGATTTTCCAAAACGAAAACCTACACTTTACACTGAAATTGAATGGCCAAACTTTAAAGAATACATGGTAGCTGTAGAAGAGGAAGAATGAGATGAAAATAAGACAACATGAATAAGCTTGGAAACCTGCTAGCGAGGAACTTGAAACCATAGATATGGGCAATGAAAAAATAAGAGAAAAAAAAATTAAAGATAGGGACTATAATCACTTCTAAAAAAAAAAAGAATTGGTTACTTCGAGAGATGTTTTTTCCTTGGTCCTATAAGGATATGTCTGGCTTAAATACGAATATTATAGTACAAAGGCTAATGCTGGTAGAAGGATGCAAATCGATTAAGTAAAAGTTGAGAAGAATCAATCTGGATGTCTTAATCAAAATAAAAGTAAAAATTGAAAAATAGTGGAATGATGATTTTCTAGAAGTAGTCAAGTATTCATGATGTGTGTCCAATATAGTGGTAGCACCTAAAAAGGAAGATAAAATCCGAGTTTGTGTGGACTTTAGGGACTTAAACCGGACTAGCCCTAAAAATATTTTTTCTTTGCCACACCTAGATATGTTAGTTGACAATGCAACATGTACCTCTACATATTCCTTTATAGATAGATTTTTAGGGCTACAATCAAATAAAAATGGTGTGAAAGGAGACAACATTTGTAACACCATGAGGAACCTTTTGTTACAAGGTCATGCCATTTAGGTTAAAGAATGTCAGGGCCACCTACCAAAGGGCAATGGTGGCTTTATTTCATGACATGATTGTAATAACCCAATTCTAGGTTATTCCCTAAAAACTCACTTTTTTTCAAAATAAAAATCAAAAAATAAAATAATGGCTGGCAACGTGGAGAAAGCAGGCTAGAAAATCAAGCTACAATTTTTAAAGGAAAGGCCTCCTAATTGTACCTCATTATGCCCAAGAACATATAAAAAATACAAATTCAAAGTCAAATTAAATGATTATTGGACGAATTTGCATAAAAATTAAGTCTAATGACATAATTAAATTTTTAATAGGCCAATTTGATTTAATCATGGGCCAAATTAAATTTTAATTATGTTTAATAATTAATTTGGGTTCAATTAAAGGATTTAATTAAGTGCAAAGACTTAATTATACTTTAAATGGGTCAAATTAATTTTATTTGGGGCTTAATTAGTGAAAAATTAAGTTCAAGGACATAATTAAATTTTTAATAGGCCAATTTGATTTAATCACGGGCCAAATCAAATTTTAATTATGTTTAAGAATTAATTTGAGTCCAATTGAAGGATTTAATTAAGTGTAAGGACTTAATTATACTTTAAATGGGTCAAATTAATTTTATTTAGGGCTTAATTGGTGAAAAATTAAGTTTGGGAGCTTAATTTGGGCTTAATTGAGAAGATTGAAATTTTAAGAGACCAAATTTAATTTTTACCAAGTTAATTAATTGAAATTAGGGGAAAAAATACAAGAAAATTGAAGTTTTCGGGTCAATTAGAGGCTAAATTGATAAAATCCAAGACCAAGGACCATATTGTAAAAGGCACCTAACTTCGGGGTTCCAATTGAAGTTCAGC